AGAGGAAAATAGGACTCTTGAGGATATGGCTAGAACAATGTTGATCGATAATGGTATGCCAAAGAGTTTTTGGGCTGAAGCATTCAACATGGCGTGTTTCTTGATTAACAAGTGCATGATCAGGTCCTTGCTTGACAAGACTCCCTGTGAATTGCTTAATGGGAGAAAACCAAAACTAACTTATCTAAGAGCTTTTGGATGCAAATGTTTTTTCTCAACAACGGTAAAGAAGCATTGGGAAAGTTCGACGCAAAAAGTGATGAGAGTTTTTTTTTGTTATGTTTTTCAAAGCATGGCATACAAAGTCTATAACAAAAGGACTCAATGTGTAGAGGAAAGTATGCATGTGATCTTTGATTAATCTAATCACTCAAGTTGGAAGGATTCACATGATAAAGATGATCAAGATAGAGATTTCTCAAATGTTCTTGGAGAAGCCATAGATATGGCAAATGGGAAGGCTGATTTGATGAGTCAATTCAAGGAGAATGATGAAAAAGATGCAGCATAATCTCCAGCTGAAACAGAGGAACCTGGTCCCTCTATCCCCGCAACTAAAGTTGAACATAAGGTTGCTAATTCTATATTAGTTACACCTGATGTAGGACAAATAAGTGAAATTCATACTTCTATTGATGCCTATGATGGGTCAAAAATAGAGGAATGTGGTCACATCCTCTTCAAAATGTGATCACACCCTTAGACTCTGATATTCAAACTAGATCTAAGGCAAGAAATATGTGTGCCTTCTCAGCTTTACTATCTCAGATTAAGCCTAAAAACATCAACAAAGAATTGAAAGATGCTGACTGGATTGCTGCTATGCAAGAAGAGCTTCATCAGTTCGAGCAAAACAAAGTATGACACCTGGTTCCCCGACCCTCAGATAGAACAGTGAATGGAACCATGTGAGTGTTTAGAAAAAAGCTTGACGAGTTTAGAAACACAATAAGAGACAAAGCTAGATTGGTGGTCTAGGGTTACAATCAAGAAAAAAGGGATTGACTATAATAAGACATTTGCTCATGTTGCTCAAATGGAAGCCATCAGAATTCTCATAGCTTTTGCAACTCATATGGAATTCAAATTATTCCAGATGGATGTTAAAGTGCATTTTTGAATGGATATTTGAAGGAGGAAATTTTTATTAAGAACCAACCTGGATTTGAATGTTATGAACACCCTGAACATTTTTTAAGCTTGACAAATACTTATATGGTTTGAACTACGCCCTCGTGCATGATATGAGAGATTGTCCAAGTTCCTTCTCGAGAATAGCTTCACTAGAGGAAAAATTGATAGTACTCTATTTTTGAAGAAAAGAGGAAGAAATTTGTTGATTGTGCATGTCTATGTTGATTAAATCATATTTGGTGGCACAAATGATTCCCTTTGTGAGGAGTTTGCAAAATTCATGGAAAATGAATTTGAGATGAGCATGATGGGGGAGCTAAAATTCTTCCTTGGGTTGCAAGTAAAGCAAACCTCAAAAGGAACCATGATAAGTCAACATAAGTATATCAAGGAGCTGCTAAAAATATTTAAGATGGAAAGTTCCAAGACCATTGATACTCCTATTACTACTGTCGCTCGCCTGGACATAGATGAACATGGTCCTTCTGTCAACAAAACTATGTATAGGGGTATTATTGTTTCTCTTTTGTATCTAACAGCTAGAGACCTGACATTATTTTTAATGTTAGGTTGTGTGCTAGATTTCAATCAAGCCCAATAGAATCTTATTTGAAGGCTGCCAAAAGAATCCTGAGGTATCTCAAGGGAACCCATGAGATAATTTTGACCTAGTTGAATATGTAGATGCTAACTATGCTGGATATCTGGTGGATAGAAGAGTAACATTTGGAATGGCACATTTTCTGGGATCTCATGGGTTACAAAGAAATAAAACTATGTGGCTCTCTCTACTACTGAAGCTGAGTATGTGGATGATGCCTCTTGTTGTGCTCAATTGTTGTGGATCAAGTAACAACTAGAAGATTTTGATGTGTTTACAGATTATGTGCCATGTTTTTGTGATAACATAAGCGCTCTCAACATGGTAAAGAACCCAGTGCAGCAGAACAAGATAAAGCACATTGATGTGCGATATCACTTCTTGAGCGACAATAATGAAAAATGGTTTATTTGTATAAAGTTCTGCGAAATAGAGGACCGAGTAGTAGATATCTTCACCAAAGCATTGAGTAGAGAATATTTTGAAAGAAATCGTTTGGAGCTAGGGTTGATCAAGCTTAACTGAGAACCTGGTCCCTCGATGATTGGCTATGAAAGGATAGAACGGTTTAATGTTAAAAAGTGTTTTCTGGAGACATCTAACTCAACTCGATACTGTTACAGGTAGACACGCATAGCAAATTAAGGACTAATAAGTGACAAATGACATTGCAAATATCTAGAAGTTATTGCTCATATTTTCAAAAATGTCAAGCAACTTGGTTCCTATGACACAAGTTAGTAGTTTCGTTTACACTTTAACGCATTTTGAACTGCTAGGGTTCCAAGTCATTATTTTGTTCCCGCCTCTTATGATGCCCTTTAAGCCCAAACATTACATTTGTTCCAAAACAGCCCGATGATCCGTCTCCTCTCTCTCACACTCATTTGCATCAAGATCAAAAGGGACCCCCAGGTACCCAAAGCTGACCTCCATTCAGGATAACATTCTCGAAAAGCTCCGAAACTCAGCATATTATCTCTTTACAACTCAAAGAGCGCGACAGCCCGAACCTATCAGACTATTCAAGCTTGGTCCGAAGTACGACAAGGGGCTTGGAAAAATTCCACATCGATCGGTAGAGGATCGGAAAAAACGCTCGCACCTGAGTTAGATATCAGCAGTCAACAGTAAAGGAAGACATTCAAAGGGCCTCAAAGGGCACGAGAGCATGCAATTACAAGGCAAGAATCGAAAGCAGAAGTCAATGGGGTATATTCATATTCATAAAGGTCCATGTACAACAACCCTCGAGGGGTCATTACATACAATTACAAAAGCCTATAGAGGATCTCTACGCATAAAGGAAGAAACAAAGGGATGCACACGCGAAGTAAAAGCCTGAAGACCGATCTACCTTCAAAGGTCCGCCTCTTACAACAGTTGCCTCCGGACGCACATCCTCGGAAGTTTCATCCTAGCCTTCCACACTGATATCCCCAAGGGATAAGGCGAGTAGCGGGGAGCGATGAAAAAATGCCATAGCTCTCCGAAGCTCGAGGACCCTCGATGGCCAAGGGAACCTCAGAGAGATAGTGGACTGAACAAGCCTCGATCCCGCTTGCACGGCTACTTAGAATCCACTTCGTGGAACGTCTAGCCGTGCAAGACCCCAGCTCGGGGCAGAGCACCATGTCGAGTCGGGGTATGAAGGTGGCATCAATGTATAATCCGAGTCCCCTTTTGAGTAGTGGTATGTAATCTGAAGAGCTTTCTGCTTACAAGGAAAGTTGGCCTTTGTATGTCATCATTTTGAGCCAACAGCAACAGCCATGGCAAACATGTCAATGACCACAGCAACAACAGGACAGCATGGTTGTGCTCGACAAAGGGAAGCCCCGGCAAAAGACCACAACACAATCTAAGGGAGCTCCGCCAAATGGCCTTGAGGACATGAGCCCCAAGCATGATGCTCTAGGATAGAAGAAGATGATAAGAAGGAATGGGCAAATAAGCCAACGAAGGCACTGGGATAGGAAAAACAACGCCGAAACACCCCCATTTATAGGGGGTTATGACACGGTCGTCGAGGCTTTGGAAGATTGACCGGCGGACACAGTTAATATATCCTTGAAAAACCGAATCGACGGTGGAACCTTCACCTTGAAGAGCGGGAATCTGCAGTGCATTGAATGAAGTCGAAATACACAAGCCCGTGGATGCCCCAGTTGCCACAAAGCTCACGCCAGGAGTCGCATCATCGGTATGACATCGCCGTAAGAAGCTCGAGGAGTCATGTGTCAGAATCATTTCCCATCACTTCGCTTTGGGAAACGCGGAGACTATATGTACGCGGTGAAATTAGAGGAGTTGATTTCTCGCTATCAAGTCATTTCAGAAGAATGCCTCGAGACCCCAAGGACGGGAAGCCACGACCGAGTTCCCGACCTCGAGGCTCGTCGAGGCCGACTCAGAAAGACGGAGATCGAAGCTATGATAGAGGGGGAAGATCCCAAGGCACACGGCTAAGTCTGACCAGGCCAACCTATCCAGAGCCTATGCTGAGGCATCACGTCAAGCTATCCCATCTCCATACTTTGTAATTAATGCCCATGTACTTATAGCCGAGTTCCCCTCCTATATAAAGGGAACTCACACTACCTTGTAAGGGGTTGATGTTTCTACACTTTCTCCACAAGTGCAATAATATTTCTCTCTCTCTCTCTCTCTCTCTCTCTCTCTCTTCTTTCTAAACTCACTTATTCTCACTGGCCCGAGGCCACCTTAATATTTATCGCTTTCTCACTTGTTCTCCATTTTATCGCCTGGTATTGGATATAAAAAGCCTTACTTAATCGTATCTTAACTATTATCCCATTCTCGACTGCCCCCGATAGCCCGAGTTCGACCCTGACGTCGACCCCGAGGTCCCCCATCGACCAATCCTATATCCGGGCAGCAGGCCCCTCTATTTGATTACTGTCTCGTTTTAGCTTGTATTTCATCAATAAACTTTACATTATTAGCATCATCTGCTCTAACAACTAGCTCGAGAATAGATCACGTATTTTTAGAATCTCATTTACAAATTTAATTGTTGTTACCATTTTTACGGTAAACAGTTTGGCGCCCACCGTGGGGCTAAAAATAATAGTGATTATTTTCTTGCTGGTTTCATTGCACAAATGCACATTATCTTTCACACTTTTTCTTGTCCAAGATATTTTGATTTCAGGTCAAAATGTCTGGCTCAGTAAACAGAGTCGAGAACGACAACCTCGAAAATCACGGTGGAAACGGTGTGGCTATTCTAGTGGTTGACGCGATGCCACAGAACCCCGATAACGCATCTGGGCCAATTCTAGTGGACACGGGTTCGCAAGGCACGCAGCAGGTCAATGAAGTCTCGCACACCGATGAGAGCATTCAGCATATCAATCAACAGGAAGCCCAACAAACCCCGGCTCGGGAAACACAGGAAGTTAGTCTTCACGATATTTTTGAAATGTTGCAGGCGCAGTAGTTGGCTATCGCTCAATTGCAGAGCCATCCGAAGACTCCCAGTATAGTAGCGCCGGAAATAGCTCCCCGCACAGAACGAGTACCCGAAAGATCAAGCAACAATGGATCGATAACAGACCCTACTATAGCGAAGATGCTTGGGGATCTCTCCAAGAGGATCGAGTCAAGTTCGTGGAGGTTCATGCAACAGTTGTCCCCCGAGGAAGCGGTCCCGGAACCCGTTTCACGGAAATTTGGAACGCCGGAACTCCCTACGTACGACAGGATCTCGGATCCCGAGGAACGCACCATCTCTTACACCTACGCGGGAAAAGGCAGCGACCTTCAAGATGATGAGTTCGAGCCCGTCTCGTTGAAGAAGTTTGGCGAAACACTCTCAAAAGGAACCATAATGTGGCGACACAACCTAGCGCCTGACCTCACAAACTCGCTTACCATTCCAGCAGATTCCTCCGCAGAGGCACACGCCGATGCCATCGAAGCAGCAACGGGATGGCCCGACACATCTGAGGCCGAACAAAGAGAGAATGAAATGCCAGAAGAAGTCGCGCCTCATTCCCTGATGGAATGAACGAGATCGCCCCTGTTTCGGATGACCGGGCAACACAGGCCTTCGCCCAAAGCTTAAACAAACCATGCTCGACGACTCTATGACATTTCAAATGAAGCTTGATCAGATAACCAGTCGAGATCTGGTCGGATGCCTATACCCAGCACCAGCCACGAATTAGGGCCGTGGACGACCATACGAGAACCTCCTCGGGCTCGATATACCCAAGCAGGCTCCCGGCAAAGAAGCTAATGCCAAACAGATGGAGGTGTCATCTATGCGCCACAGATAGGAGGAATGCCACAAGATGCAACCTACCTTGCAACGATCGGGTAATGGCTCGAGGGAAACATCCTCGAGGAACCTTCAGTAGAGCCAGGTTCGACGAGGCATGGCTGGCAGGGGCACCCTGCCCAGCAGAATACGATTTCAGCATTGCTATACCAAACATCGTGATCACCGTAAGCGAAACTAGGGACACCAAATGACTCAGACCTATTCGACCAAGTCCCCTTAAAAGGAACCACAACCCGGCACACGAACCGCAGGGCGCGCGCGGCCGCGAGGTCAAAAAAGGCTACCAGCTCAGGAGGATAACATCCGCACTACTTAATAAAAATCGCCACCGAGTACTATCTAGCGGTCAGGCTTGAATCCAGCCCCAAAGGAGGAAGGCAACTAGAAAAAATGAAGCAAACAAGTCGTGGCATATTACCACGACAGTGGAGGAGCGGCGACACCCTTCGAGGACTCATAAAATGGAAAGTAAAAATGTTCGCCTCCAGGGAAGAACGGGTCCAGGGATATATTCCAGAAGACACCCTTACATCCAAAGAAAAGGACACTGAAACTTCGCCTCGGCCTCACACTGATGCATTGGTAACCCTCTCCCTCATTTGATCTATTCCAAATAAAACATGTGTTCATGAATACAGGTGGTTCGATCAAGCATACCAACGATGTCGGACCAAAGTCGATGGGGCGGATCGAACTAAATAACCAAATCACTCCCGCACCCCCAATCTTTGACGGATTCCAAACGACAATCACCATAGCAAGAAGGAAGACCATTCTCTCGATACAGCCTGTCTAAGCTCGAGCTGGGACGCTGGGCTCTGTACCATCAAAGAAGGTGCAAGGTACAGACGTCTTATTCAGATGGCCGCTGGCACACCACCCGGAGACAGCGTCGGTCCCATTTCGCCCAAAGAATGAAATCCCACGCAAAGGGCGGAATTAAAATAAGTTGACAGGGAGCAATGTGTGACGAGGGGAAATTCCCCACCATATGGCGTATCGCCGACATCGATGCCTCCACCCTCGGAAGGATCAAAGGGTAAACTAACCGCATCTTCGGCCAAGCCTGATTAAACACAGCGGAGGGCTATATTAAGGCTCACACCTCGAAAGGGCAGGAACATACCAAATCTTGAAACGTCGCCTGCACATCCCACAGTGAGGAAGAACAGTTTCACTCCTTTATTATTTTTTCACTAACCTGTATGTAGACAACCGGCCGGGACATTCGGAAGTTCTAACTTCGCCCGGAGATCCCAAGGCCTTAGCAGGTCCCGCCGCGCTCTCTTCCATCGATCTGATTTCCACCCCAAAGAGGGTATCGTCAACAAGATTATTAGCGGTGCAACGAACCCAAAGAGGAGGATCTGACAAGATCACAGGCTTTCTCATCTAGTCAAAAGACGAGCGATGAACCTCTTTTAAGGGAACCATCCCCTCAGAAGGACCGGGAAACATCAGACTAAGTTTCAATAGTGAATTATGTACCGGATCGAATGGTCCAAGAAGTCGCGCCCGTGCAGACCGAGCTCGCAGCAACAAAACGGCATATATTTACAACATATATCTATACCAAGCAATAAAGAATATCTTTCGGCATCTCGTACTCTAGAAAGGGGGATTTCAACATGTTCACGGCGAAGGCCTCTCCACCAAACCCATCCTGAGATACTCGGAGACTTAGCGTCAACAATTCAGCACCCGCACGACACCAGGGTCAGAACTTCAGGCTCATAAAGCCCCTATAAGGCAACTCCGAGCTCACGAAAAGCGGCCTCCGAGCTCAAACAAACTCGATGACTCGGAGACTGTCATTAATCGCCATGCACTAGAAAACCCGAAACTATAAGACCCCTAGCGGGCAGACTCGGCGTAACCAGATCTATTCTATATTACAACAAAAACTGTAAGACCTCAACAGGCATGACAAACTATAAGACCTTAACAGGCATGAAAATCTCGAAGTTTAGGCTATACGTCGCATTTGTAAGAATCTCGAAAGGGCATATCCTCGGTGTAGACGCCTAAACTATTACTCGGGATCTCCGGCCAAACACATATGACTATGGTCAAAACGGCTAATACAGTCAAATTAACGCGACTCGGGGATGCCCGACCGTCGTTAAACAAAAATCGCAGGCCACTACTTCGAATATACTTCGGAAAGAACCGATTAAAATAGGCTTTGCTCAACAGACAAAAATGAGCTTCGACTATGTCAGCTCCAAATCACAAGGCTTCGACCTACTTAGCCTACAAGCTATGAACCTTCCGAGGTGCTCAAACATCGCTGATAACGACTTGAAATTGATGTTCTTCCAGAACCGATGACGGGTAGGCAAAATTATTTCAAAAGACCTTAACGAGCGGAAAACAAAGCCTACAAAAAGCCCACAGGCAAAACAGCGTAAGAGCCATTGTCACCAGCCAAACGAGCCTCCGAACCACACACTAAAAGGTCTCTACGACCAAACATCGTAAGAGCCATTGTTGCCAGCTTGATAATTGACAACTTGAGGATTAAAATAAGCTCGAATCGTAACCCGATTCGGAGAACGGATACAAAATAGTTAACTATGCAAGCCTCCAGGCCATATATTAAAAGGTCTCCACGACCAAAATAGTGTAAGAGGCACTATCGCCGGTCTGAAAATTGAAAGAACTTAAGGGTCAATTAAAGCTCGAATCGCAATGCGACTCGGAGACTGGACCCGAAATAGTTGAAACGACAAACGCCCAAGGGCGAGAAATAAAAGCCACCGTCGTTCGCCCATGCAGGCAGGAAAGAACTTAAGGGTCAATTAAAGCTCGAATCGCAACGCAACTCGGAGACTGGACCCAAACTAGTTAAACTACAATATGCCCAAGGGCACGACATAAATGCCATTTTCGCCAGCCGAGTGAGCCTCCGGGCCATGCGTCTGTAGGGTCACTTCGACCCGAAGCACAAAAGTCCATCGTCATCCGCCTATGTAGGAGGAAAGAACTTAAGGGTCAATTAAAGCTCGAATCACAATACGACTCGGAGACTGGACCCAAAATAGTTGAAACGGAAAATGCCCAAGGGAAAGAAATAAGAACAATCACTATCTACCTGCACGGGCACAAAATGGTGAAATCTACACTCCGCTCTAAAGGGCTACAGCTTGCCAGATTTTCTCTCCGCGACTTCAGCAAGAAGTGACCGAGCATCACGCTCGTCCGCCCTTACTCAAGCTAATTCCTTTGAGATAACGAAGCCCCTAGCACCGATATCCTCAAGTACCTCTCTTCGGGGTCTACAACGAACATATTCCTCGATCATCTTCTCCCGATCGAGGGCTCGCTTCAGCCCGGGTATCGATTATCTCAGCCCTGATCTTTGAGAGATCAGATTCAAGTTTCCTGATCATATCCGCTTGAACTTTGGCATTGTCACGAGCCAAGCAGAGTTGGGCTTCGAAGACAGGGACCTTGGCCAAGGCGCCTGTCTCCTCGAAAGCTTGAGCTTGCACTTGAGCCCTTAGCTCACCACAAGTAGTTCTGACACGGTTGATGTCGCCCTTGAGGTACTCCAAGGCCTCCGTCTTTTCCTGCAGCTAATATAACAAAAAGGGGTTAACCTTAAGGTACAAAAGGAGTGAAGCGCGTGCTATAAAAGGTTACTTGCTCCATCAAATAGCTCTCGTAATTCGGGCTCCGATACGCCTCATATCGTCGATGCAGCAACTCAACCTCCTTCTCCTCGCTAAGGAGCCTAAGGGACTAGCCCTTGTCCTGAATTTTTCGAAGCCTGGCCCCTTAACAGAGTAGCTCAGACATAAGCCTATCACAGGCCTGCATAAGGAAAACTCAATAAAGGGAGGAGGACGCAGAATACAGGAAAACTACGCCTAAGCTCACCACGAAGTGAAGTTGACGGACTTCCTCGAAGTCAGAGCACACTCCTGTTGATCCTGCCTCTTCGGCCTAAGGAGAACCAACCTCGGGTAAAGCAGATTCACTCAGAGGAACTGCCACCCGGGAATTAGATACTCCGGGAACAGCATGCTCGGACGATGCCCTCTTTTCGAAGACACGGGCCCGTTCAGCGCCACTAAAAGCTCCATTATACTGCGGGTGCTAATCCCGTTTATCACCGTCGTCCCTCGGCTCAGAGGCTGATGCCTCCTTCTCCCCTTCGGAAGAGCATTGCCTCATCCCAAAGAACTGCCTGATACCTGCAAACGGCAAATCCAATACAAAAAAAAGGAGGGAAATGTTGCCTCAAATTTACGAAGGCCAAGGCAAAGGCAGCGTGTGCACATACCTTGGTATTTCGCTCCCCATCTGATGCAGAATACAGCTCACCACCGACGCTCATCGCAGGTCGAATGGGTCACCTGCCTCCGGACCCATCCGAGCAGGTCAATTCGTTCAGCGTCCATGAAGTTGCTGCAAAAAGGGAAAAACACGATTAGTCAACTGATTTTCGCTATAGGCAAAATCTGAGAAAGCACCAGATGCTCCGCTCACGTGAGTAATTCTATCCCTCGGGAAATAGCAAAAGCTCCACGGGGATAATGTCGTCCGTCCAGACCCGGATTAACCAACTAGCCCACTCTCGATCCCCGTCTTTTTTGCTATCGACAACGAAGGGCGTAGACGAACGACACCTCAGGGTTAGCAGCCCTTGGTGATGAAAGGGTCGGTATAGCCTGACGAGGTGGTTAAGCATGAATTCAAGCCCAACCTTCTCCGCAAAG